ATGTTTATGGCTGAGTCATGCTGTTTACATTTGAAAGCAGATTTATAAGAACCGTTCTGGCTTTTTATTTTTTTAAATAAAAAGCCAGTTTGAAAGTGTTTACTGTGTAGATAATGTACCTAGTAAAACTTATTTAATGCCACTGACATAGCATAGATAAATTAAGTTAAAAATAGATGCTATACAGTATTTTCAAGATAAAAAGATAAAAGTAGGGTGCATATTCATACACAAATATATGTGGCAAATTAGTCTGTTCAGAGTGCAAGCACTAAATGATAGTAGAAAAGGCTTTCAGTTTAGACAGGATTTGTTTGGTTTTGCCCTATACAAAAATCAACATTCTTCCCTTCTGTAATATATGATCACAAATTAATGCATATCCCACTGAAATGCAACATGTTAAGTCATAATTAAATGTTATCCTATACAAAATCTCTCATAAGTAGAAGATAAAGAAAGAATCAGAGCAGGCAAATACATCAGGAAATGTTTTTCTTTATTCCAGGTGACAAAATATATATTTATGTAGTTTAGTCATGTTACAGGATGATTGCAGATTGCAACAAAAGAAAGGTTTGCAAATAAATAAAAAGTGCATCTCTCTTTAAATAAAGCTATAAAACAGCAGCTGGTAAAAAATCCCCATCTTTTTAAATTTTAATAGGTGTTCAACGTAATCTCAGCTAAGATTCTAAAATACATTCCTGAGCGCATATGGATTAAAGAAATTCTGATTTCCTTATTATACAAATTGCCCTTTGCATAAAAATAGCTGCACTTAGAAAGGAAGCAGCTTTTAAAAAATGTTTCTTAGTCTGCCATTTTCACACACTTGTGTTTTACAGATTCATTGAATACCCTTTCTGAAATAGCCACAACACAACAGTACCCTTAAAGTGCAACCTGTTCTTTCCAGTTAACCCATGGATTTGCTATTGGTCTCCATTACAATTTTACTATCTCTTAGAAGCATACAAAATAAGGGAAGTTGCCCAAGTGTTAGCATTAATGATAGTGGAGTCTTAAAAAAAAAAATCTCTGAAATGTTGGCTTTGACTCCCCTCCCTCCCTCCCCGATCCTATTATTGATAAGGTTTGTGGCTGAGTAAGCCTACCACAAGACACTTTTAAAATCTTAGAGAAGGAAAGCATGTCTCAACATGGAAAACAATGAGCAACTCCACAAAGACAATAGTTACACTGTTATCAGAGGCGCAGGGACACCTAGGGCAGGGAGGTGGGTATAGGGGTATGCTGACCACTGTGCACCACAGGGGAGGAGGGTGCAGAAGGGGGAGATGCGGGCAAGGGGAAGGGAAGGCTTGCCTTCCCAGGCTAGTGCTGCCACTGCTGCTTATACAACAACAGTAGCAGCATTACCTCTGCTCCTTGACTGAGCCCTGTGGCTGGGCTGTCTGAGAGCTGACTGGTGCCTCATTTGCTTTCTCCCCCCGACCAAAGAAAATACATTAGGCACAGGGATGTGACTGCTCTTGCAAAGGCTACTGAGGGGCAGGAGAAAGGGGAATGCACCATTCCGCTTGTTCCATTCACCCCCTGCCCCCTAGATGCACTGCTTGGTATGGTGGTACCCTGCTCAGCTCCTCTGGCTGGGCAGGGGCAGTGCAAGTCCCATGGCGGGGCCACAACTTTGCATCCGGAGCTGGCGCCCTGCTTGTCCCAGCCTAGTTACACTACTGACCAGCATAGTAGCAACTTCAACGGAAGGAGAATAAAGACCACAGCGTACAGTCAATTGTATGTTAGTACAAACAAATCTTACTTAAAAGAACGGTACGTATGAAAAGAGCACAAGCTACACTGGACTCTGTCAGGAGAGGCCGGTAGTATAGTACTGAAATGAGGTTTACATGGTGGTGCCTGGCTAGAAATGATGGCAAAGGAACAGAAATGGAATCCACGTGGGAGGAATGGCATGAGGTTAATCCTTAAGAAAATTTAACATGCGGGATGACGATATGAGTTCTCTTTCAGAGCTGCTCATCTGCCCCCCCAAAACAGAAACAAGACAACATTTCAGGAACCAAAGACAATTGTGGACCTTACTCTTCTCTCATAGGCCCCAGCACCACCTCCATGTAACATTACTGTTCATTTGCAGACTGATCCAAAAAACCCACAGAAGTCATGGAAAGACTCTCACTGACTTAACTGAGCTTTGGCTATGGCCCTGTTCCATGTGGAGGAGACTCAGGGACACGAATTCTATCCCCATTACATTACATAAGGAGTGTTATATAACAGCTTATCATCATTTTTAAATTTCCAGAAAGCCCCAATTTTGGCTGTATTTTTGTCATATCTACATTGGCATTCAGCTTTGGACCAAAGCAAGCTGCAATGAAAGATGGAAGAAAATAAACTCCTTGGAATGCCTGCAATATTTCAATGATTTCAACGTGGGGCTTTTTCTTCAGGCCTGTCACCATTGTTGTATACATGATGTACAGACAGACAAGCAAAGTTCCCATGAGATAAGGAAGGGCAGAGCTTTAGAACCTGTCAGCTGCTCCATGGTAACAGCCTGTGCGCGCACACCGCCTCAACTAACCTGCAGCAACCTGCTCCCACTATCACCGAGTACAAAGCTAGTTAACTGCAAACTGTCACTTACCTTGGGTAAGAGCATTCACATGGGTAGTTACTATGCATTGTAAATTCCTTTCCTTGTTTCCCCTCCATAACTTATTCACATGCCCTCAGTAATGTAGACTGGGGTGGCCGTAAGTGGTACAAGCAGCTTCTGTGTGTGCCAAATGGCAGAACAGGAAGGGGCAGGCAGCACAGAGACAGAGAGGTCAGGAGGGAAAAAGCAGAGCAGCAGATCAGGCAGGGGGAAGGGGTTGGAGACAAACTCGGGGAGGCTACGGGACAAACTTATGGCATGTCTGCCAAAAAAGTTGGCCCCCACTGATGTAGACAGTCATCATTAATAGCAACAGCATAATCACCGCTCAACTCTTCTCAGTTTTTGGGTTAGGATGAACTTAGATTAGAAATAAGGGAAGAAAGCTTCAACTTCTTATTCTTGCTTGCCCCCAGAGTATTTAAATGTAAAACAAGCAAGTCTGGTTTCAAAGGGCTGTTTTTTATACCAGTGAAATGCCATACCAGACCCTTTAAATACAAAGGAGACATGGTAGAGGAGTGCTGCAAGTATTCCTTTATTGCCTGAACATGGTGGCAATGACAGAGCAGTCAAACACAGTAGAGAAAGGGTTACATGCATGCTCCCATTAGGGCAAATGCATGAAAACACAGAGGCAGGGCACATTTTTCAAAGTCCCATCATTCCTTATATTCAGATGTTACCATTAAAAACAGGCTTTCTTCTGCCGAATACAAACTGCTCATGGAATTAAACACCTTTGATTATGGCAACACCTGCTAGCTCAGCTTCCACATACAGAGAAGCGTGTCAGCATTCCTAATATAAACCCTGTTTTTCAGTAGCTGACAAGTGGGCTGTAAAAATTTGCAGCTGGCAGATATTTGTCAAATGAGGACTCAATCTGGGAGGGATTTTCCTTTTTATTAGTAGCATTTTATTAAATTTGGTTTAATTCTCTCTGATTGGTTTCTAGGAGTGAAAAATGAATATTTACAGACAATTAGGTCCCAAGCCAGCAGAAAAATTGCCTCTACGGCTGCTGGCCCATAGGATCTTCACAGCTGCAGACACTGTTCCTTCTACAACAGGAGAGGAAGGAAGCACCTCCCCTCCTCCAACAGCTGCTATCACCAACATTAAGCATTGCCTTGAGGCTGCCTTCCTTTGAGGAGTGGCATAGCTCCAACATCACTGGAGATCTGGAGATTTGCTCTAAGGAACCCCCTAACATTGAAATGTTTTTCTGAGGACTGACTAACAATCTGGGAAGAAAGTTAAGAGGGCCACTGGGACTCAAATTACTCCATCACTATCCCAAAGAGGTGGTAAGCAGGTGTGAACGAGAAACACCACCCTCCTTCCAGATAGAAAAGTCCACTTTTCTTTAAAAAAAGAAAAAAATGAAAGTGTGGATAGACTTAGATTAACTCTGTTTCCCACCAAAGGGCCAACTGCCCATGCACTGTTTCAACTCCTGAGGGCAGGAAACATACATTTCCATGAACTGATACCAAGATTATGGCAGGGGGAAAAGCCTATGCCTCTTTCCCCAATCAGCTCTGCCATACCTCCTAGAAAGGAGTGTGTTTTTCTAGGGAACCTTCCCTTCAATAAAAGACAGGACTTCACAGCTGTATCTAAAACAAATTTTCATGCAGTTTCCAACGTGAGCGGAGGAAGGAAACATTTACACTCTGTAGAAGAAATGGAGCTTTGAGATGAGGGAACTGTATGTGCTGGTTTTGTTTTTAGAGCAGATCAAATGCTGCTCTCCTAAATGCTCACTTGCAGCAACTACATTCAGATAGGGAACAGAAGTTTAGAAAACAAATAAAACCCTGTAAACCTCAAGATTCTTTTCAGTTTAGAATGACAAATCTCCATCAACTAAAAAAGACATTTCTAACCCTTAAAAAACATGTTCTGCTGCCAAGAATATACATACCATTGAGATCCAGCTAAGACTAGATATGATAGAGCATAATGGTGCGTCTCCTGACCCCATTATTCTCAGTTATGCCTATCCACCTAGAAACTTTAAATCACTGTAAATACTAGAAGCATGATGAAAAAGCCATCAGCTTCAAGTTCTCCCCATTACATATTTACATTTTTTGGTACAGTATAATCACTATTAATAGGAAAAAAAACCCTTTTTAATAGACAATTGTTGACAAACTGATGTAAAAACCAACTCTATGGCAATACTGTTTCAGCGAGTACCCACATTCACAACAACACAGCTTGCACTGGCAAAGAATGACAGGAGATGCTTGAGGGCTTGGACTTCATACCTCAAGCCAAGCTGTTATCCAGTTATTCAGAGTTTTCAG